ATTATTAGCATAAGTTAATTGTACAAAAAAAACTTAATTCTAGACTCTTCAACCCTCCTATGCTACAGTTGAGGATATTGTGTGATAAATAATAAAAGCTCAATATTTTTAAAAACAAAATGACTTCATTCTCAATATTGTATGGCCTTGGCCACATATACTATTTAAAGGAGCTTATTTAAGTAATTGGGATTTTTTCCCCTATAAGAAAGCAGAGCCAGAGGTGGGGGGTGGCTCCCATCTATAATCCTAGCTACTCTAGAAGCTGAGATCTAAGCATCACAGTTCAAAGCCAGTCCAGGCAGGAAAGTCTGTAAGACTTTCATCGCCAATTAATAACCCAAAAAAGCCAGAAGTGGAAATGTAGCTCAAATGGTAGAATGCCAGCCTTGAGTGAAAAAGCTCAGGAACAGCACCCAGGTCGTGAGTTCAAGCCCTAGGATTGGCACAAAAAAGGCAGACACATGTAAATTTTACACCAACATTACAGTATACTAGCTTTGTGTAAGGTTTACATAAGAACAATAATAAAATTTTATGTAAGAATACCAAACAGGACCAAATGAGTAAAAGGAAAAAACAACTACTGCTCCTGGAGAGTGATTCAAGCTTTAAACTAAGTCTCACATCTAGGGAAATTGAATTCATAATCTCAATTTGGGGAAGTAGTTAGTGACCTGGTAAATGATAAAAAATTAATGTGAAAGTATAAATTTCAATGAGGCCAAACCAAACATTTTAGAAATATGACAATTTGGGTAAGTTATAAAAAATGGTACTGAAAGGTTATATGAAATGACTGTAATTAAGAGTCAGCTTCTGGCAGAGAAATAGACAAAAAAGAAATGATTATACATTAAATTAAGTAATTATATATCATTGTAAAATATAATGTTATATATATTTGATCATTACTTCAAACATCTGAGAAAATGTGAAGACATGCCTAGGCTTATTCCTAGAATGTAAATTAAATCCATTTGCATTACTTTACAGAATATTTACAGTTTTAAATACTGTCACTTTAATATTCAATTGCTTAAGTACAAGTAGGAATTGATTATGAGAAAAACAAGGAAACTGCCTTAACCAAACCAAATAACCACCTAACCAAATAAATTCATCACCAATATATAATTGGTGACTGATGTTGCAACTTCTAGAATATATAATTGGTGACTGATGTTGCAACTTCTAGAAATATTTACACATTGTACAAAATCCTGCATTCTACACTATGTAAGACATAAAATGCATTACTTACAGCCAGTCCCTCTCTGAAATAGTTCACTTACCAAGGTCATGAGGCTCAATTACAACTGCTTCTTGGTGACCACCAGGAAGTGGTTTTAGGACCTCCTTGAACATTACAAAATTTACGTATGATCAAAGTCTTTGTACAAAATGGCATCATATTTGCATAAATCCTATGTAAAAGCTCCTGTGCATTTTTGTGCCAGTGCTGGAGCTTGATCTCAGGGCCTTGACATTGTCCCTGAGCTTCTTTTGCCCAAGACTAGCTACCACTGGAACCAAAGTGTCACTTTCAGCTTTTTCAGTGGTTTATTGGAGATAGGAATCTCATGGACTTTAAACTGCAATATTCAGATCTCAGACTCCTGAGTAGGTAGGATTACACACGTGAGCCACTAGTAACTGGCCTCTTGCGCATGTTTAATATTCTCTAGACTAGTGTGTTAAGTAATGGGGATCCAAGCCAGGCACTGGTGGCTTACACCTTTAATCCTAGCTACTCTGGAGGCTGAGATCTGAGGATCACAGTTCCAAGCCAGCCCCAGCAGAAAAGTCCATGAGACTCTTCTTTTTTTTAATTTTTATTTATCCAAGAGACTCTTATCTCCAAAAAACTACTCAAAAAAAGCCAGAAGTGGTGCTGTGGCTCAAGTGGTAAAATGCTAGCCTTGAGCACAAAGAGACTCAAGGACAGTGCCCAGGTCCTGAGTTTAAGCCCCAGGACTTGCAATAAAATTATATTGATATTAATATTAATAATAATGGGGATATACTTCAATGTGTCAAATCTATGGAACAATTTGGGGAGAATTTATCTCAACTCACCACTTATTCTTGTAATCAAAGACCATAATGTGTCTATTTGTTAAATGTCTTATTTCCTATCTTTGAGGATTTAAAATTTTCTTCACATAGTCCTTAGATATTTTGTTAGCCTTATTATTAAATATTTATGATTGGTGACTATTTTGAAAGGATTGTTTCCATTATACCTTGTAAATGGTTACTTTTTTATCAATTAGTGGTACAATGGTCTTTCATTAAAAGACAGATAAAAATAGGAGAGCAAGCTACAGTTAGATAGATAGATAGATAGATAGATAGATAGATAGATAGATAGATAGATAGATAGATAGATAGATAGATAGATAGAGATAGATGATAGATAGATAGATAGATAGATAGATAGATAGATAGATAGATAGATAGATAGATAGATAGATAGATAGATAGATAGATATAGAGAGAGATACCTTAATATCCAGAACGAAATGAAATGAGATGATCAATGAAATCAAAATAAATCAACTCACTATAATGGTTTAAAGACTTGGATATGTGCTTCTAAAAGTTCCCTAAATAGCTAATAATAACAAAAAATACTCATAACATATGATAAAAATGCAAAGTGAAAACCACAGTGGAGAACTTTAAAAATGGCTAAAATTAATTAGAATAACAATACCAGGAGTTGGTGACATATGTATATGTCTACTCTATGCCCCAACAATTCTACTCCTGGTATAAATCTGTTATGGTGTGCATTTTAAATATCCTTCAAAGGTCATGTGTTAAAGGCTTGGCTGCCAGCCAGTGGCTCAATCAGGTGGTGGTGGTAATGTTAGAGGTAGACATATTGAAATAATTAGGTTATTCAAGGAATATCCTAAAAGGGTATATTGGGCCCTGACTGCCCTCCTCTCATTCTCTATCTCCTCATTCTCTTACTACTATGAAGTTCTGCCTGGCCTAAAACCCAAAGCAACAGGGCAAGCCCATCATGGATTGAAACCTCTGAAACCATGAACCAAAGTAAGCTATTCCTCTTTTTAACTTGATTTTCTCTGGTATTTTGTCATGGCAAAGGAAGTACATCAAGTCAATATCCAAAGGAAATGAGTACATGCATATGAAAAAAAGGATTTATATAATAATAATAATAACATGTATAACAGCCAAAATATTAGACAATAGGAATATGGGACAAATTGTAGTATATTTGCACAAGGCAGGAAAACAAGGTTTTACTTATATATGCAACAATGAATTCAACATCCATGCTACTCCTATCTTTCCATGAAACTTAGACATAGATTGCACATACTTTGATTTTCCTACTTTCTGTATCTTTGAGTAAATAGTTTATAGCCCCTAATAGGATCAATATTCCACTCTTTTATAGATAGCATTACTCATGTCCAGAAACAGGTACTGTAGTTCTTTAATGGGATTACCATATAAAATTCAATCCATGTTATCTGCCAAGTAACTATATATATATATATATATATATATATATATATATATATATATATATATATATAATATTATATTATATCCTTCCTACTTGACCTTTCTCAATTCATTTTCTTTTATTGTACACTGCACCTTAAAGTACCAGAGAATCCCAAAACACACGTACTCATACATCATTCATTGATGAGTACATGGTCTGTGAAATGCTTCATGGCAACTTCATCATTATCTGTATAATATATTTACACAAACCTCAATGACATAAATAAATCCCTTGATGTAGCCTCTTGATACAGTCAAGTGACGTGGTAAACACATAACATATGAAGTTGCTATAAATGCAAAACAACATACTATTTTATAGTGAACATTTTCTGTAAGTAAAAGTTCACTAAAATAATGATATAGTATAGTAAGTAGGTAAACCAGCAACTTGGTTCTTTATTATCACATACGATATTTTGTATGTGATTGTAATATGCTATATCTTTATACAACAGGCAATATAATAGGTTTATTTATACTAACAGGACTATAAGCACATGAGTAATAAATTGCCCTATGATGCTGGTATGTCTAGGTCATTTTGCAATAGTATTTTTCTGTTCCATTATAATTTTACAGGACCATTGTTGTATGTAGAGTATATGAATTACAAGACTGTGCTACATTAAAGAAAAGTTAAAATATCATCTTTGTTTCAATAATACAAGCACTTATATACCACTTACAGTTTGTCAAGCTTGCTCCCTCATGCAGTGTCTACATATTTACACACAAACACTACATACACATAATTGATACTAGTTGTTTTTAATTTTTACAATAATCTTGTATTATTGGATCCATTTTAGGAAATAGGAAGGTATTAGTTACCCAACTAAGAAATTGAGGTATACAACAATTAAGAATTAAGACTACGTTGCTAGCACGCATCAGAACCAGAATGGCATGTACACAATAGCCAAATATGTCACATAAACTGTAGAATCAAGCTATTAGGAAGGGAGATAGTCTTGAACACCTCCAAAACTAAACTATGTTTCTTTAAACAATTAATTTAAAATCTTAAACTGTCTCCGGAAGATTTTTTACTAAAATTTTAGTAACAGAAATAATAGGCACACAAAATCACAGGACAGTCCTATTTTTAAAATGGGTTGTTGACATGTACTTTAAGCTATAGATATATTTATTCACCAATATGTTTTGAAACTAAAAATTCAAGTAAACATCTCCAGTATTCCAGGTATTCCCAAATTATATCAATTATGTTTCTAATTATTCTAATTATAGCCCATTGGCTAAGAACAGTCATTAAGATCCTCTTCATTACATTTCCTTATTACTCATTCTCTTATTTACTCATATAGTAAATACTTCTTTTTGTATGATAGATATGCAGTAAATATTGAGTACTCACTATGTCAAATACATAAATAGGTATAAGGTATATCACATAACTTAAAGAAAATTATTTTTATAAATACCGGTTACGGAGTATTGCAGCAACCAATTCTCCTCTATGTAGATGATCCATCACCTCTTAAAGTGGAATAATGACCTGTTCAGGAGGGAAAAAGCCAATATTTTCAAAATATTTCAAAAAAAAGTCAGAATTTTCAAAATTTTGCTTTTGTAATATTTTTAATACTTCATGATTAATTTAAAAACAAAATGATATGTTCATGTATCTAATGTAGAAATTGAATGTTTTTAAGAAATAGAATACTCAAAGTATATAGAAAACAATATAAGCCATTAAATAGTATTGATTAAATTTCATGTGAAGTCATTAGCTAACAAGTACCACTGAAAATCAACCACATCCACAGGAAGTTAGAGAAAACTGAAAATCAGAAAACCTAGAGAGTCTCTGGGAAATTTGAATTAGACAAGAATAATTGGAAAGAAACAGTTGAGTCAAACATACCCAAAGATAGAGATAGCACAAATGACTCTGTTGCCAATGGGATATAGGGTTTGAGAAGCCCATAGAAAGGCCCAAAAATTTAGAAATGGTTATACAAAACCCAAGCTAGAAAGTTACAATGTTTCAAAATCTTGAAGAAAAAACATAGTACATAGGAATATTTTATTTAATTGGATAGGATTGTTTTAGTGGTTGATGTTTTTGTTGGAGAAAGCACTGCGTTTTAGGAAAGTCAAATCCATGTAATATACTTAATGTATTATATTGGAAGGGAGTATATGAGTATATGTTTGAGTATACGTTATACATTTATTAATCAAATACATGTTATGAATGTATTGTATTTATTTCAAGTATATTGGGAAACAATGTTCCTTGTTAATAAAATCAACTTCTGTTTTTCATTGCCAAAGTGATATACAGAGGGGTTACAGTTACATAAGTAAGGTAATAAGTACATTTCTTGTCAAACTTGTTACCCCTTCCCTCATTTTTCTCCTGCTTTCCCTCCCCTCACCCTCCCACCTCTCAAGTTGTAAAAATCATTTCCAACATATAAAATCAACTTCTTATATATTGAGAGATTAACAAAAGATAAGAATGCATTATGTTCAATTTAGTTGTTAGTAGAAATGTTTGTTGTAAAACTATAACATAATTAAACAAGGCAGGGGGATTCATTGTCTCCAGCCTCTTCTAGTCATTATGTTAAGGAGTGAAGGACCAAGATACTCTACACACATAAATTGTAACCCCTTGTACAATCATTTTCAAATAAAAGTAAATTTTAATTTTTAAAGAAAGCATTTACTATGGTCAGGAGATAAAATAATAATCTAGACAAGACTCTAAAGATAGCCAGAGAGATTAAGAATTTTTTGGCTGAAAGATCACTGACAGGTATTATAGGGATAAGGAGACATCAAAGATCACCCCATAAAATCCATTTTGGTAATGGAAAATGGATGCTATCAAGTGATGCAGGATATAAACAGGAAAAAATATTGAAAGGACAACCATTTGATGGGAACATATTTATCTAACATAGCACTTCCGTAGACAGTTAAATGATAGGCAAGATGATAGGACTGGAAAATATTCCTCATGGGTACATTTGCCATGAAAAAGAATCCCAATGAAACAGAGTAAGGTAGGCTACTGGGGAAAAGAAAAGGAAAACTGGTAGAAGGAAAATTAGGGGAAATGTAAGTCCAGAAGAAGAAAATTTCGAATATATTGATTGACTTGACTATTATAAATGAGTATGGACTCTTTTACAGAGTAGTATCAGTATCACTAAAAAGGAACCACACAACACTTGATTAAAAAATAAGACAGAATTGAATAGATTGAAGATCTTGTGAGGATCTTGAAAATACAGATAATTTTTGTAAAGTGCCCTCTCAAGTGATCAAATAAATAACTTGGACACAATTAGAGGGTTTTTGTTTATTTATAGTTTTAAAGCACTTTTATAAAAAGTATACCCCATTTTACTATTTATCCTAAAAATTCTTTTTTTAAGTAATGGAATTTTATTGGTCTAACAGCTTATGCTGTTACCAGTAGATGAAGTGTTCCAAAGTATTCTTTTTTTCCCTCCAGGTACAGAAAAAGAACCACAGCAAGAAATGATTTATCATCAAGATGGCATTGCACCTTTGAGACATGAGACAGAATTTTGGCCTTCTCCTTATGGATCCTCCTTAAATTGTTTCACAGCTGGGCAGTGGCTGCCCAATTGTAGAAGTCATGTGCCTCTTCTTTTGAGAAAGGGGGCAAGTGCTTGCATGGTTGACCCTTGTTCTTCCTGGTTTAGTGTACTCCTTGGAAAATCAGGTAGCTCAATGTGCACACATGACCTTAATAAGAGGAATGGGCTCCACAACAAAGGTATAGGGTATATTAATCTAGGATCCAAAGTATGGACCATCTGGACTTCCATGATTCATCTGCAAAGAATAGTTGAATCTTGTAGCCCTTATACCCTCATTCCTATTCCTGTCTACCTACATTATGGGCCAGATTGTGTCACAACAAGTGCATATGTTGAAAATGTTACACACTAAAATAAATTCTTGATGGATCAAAATAATGGAAGGTAAAATGTGAAGTTGAAATGGCACCAAAACAAAACTCAGGGGGAAAGTTCTTATAATCATACAGAAGGCAAACAATACCCCAAACTATAAAACACTGTTAAATTTGATTACATAAAAAAGAAAAATTTATACTTCAAAACTACCAAAATGTGCAAGCAATTGGTAAACTAGGAAAAAATATCCATAATATACATGACATTTAACAGCAGACTAGTGATTTTAATTCACACATACAAAATAATCAATGAAAATAATATAGCACAATGGTAATTTGAGAAAGTAACAATCAAGAAACACAAAAATAAGTCTTAAGATAAATATTTCTTAAACTGAGGCATTAATTTTTAACCTATGAAACACACATGCAATCACACACACACACACACACACACACACACACACATAAATCCTGTTATATGTGGGAATATGGATTTGGAAAACTGTTTGCTTTTCATTCTATACTTTTTTGTTGAATTTATTTCTAAAGAAATACTCATTAGAATGCCAGGTGCCAGTGGCAAGATCCAAGGATTGCAGTTCAAAGCCAGCTGGGGCAGGAAAGTTGTTCAAATTAATATCTCCAACTAATAAAAAAAAGACACTAAAGACACTAGAAGTAGAGCTGTAGCCCAAATGGTAGAGCAATAGTCTTGAGCACAAAAGCTCAGGGACAGTGCTCAGGTCCAGAGTTCAAGTCCCAGGACTGGCACAAAAAGAGGAACTAGTAGAAGGGTCAGACCATGAAACAGGAGGGTGACCAGCATGGTAACCTAAAAGATAAGGTGTTATTTGAAGAAAGGAGTAATCCAAGTATATTAGATACTGCTAAGCAATTGTACATGAAAAAAAAATGAGAGATAACAACCCAGTGTGGTAACCTGGGAGCCAAGAGGGATCTTGATAAGAGTGGGATGTGTGGAATGATGGAGACCAAGGCTGACTTCATTCTTCAAGAAAGATGAAAGGGAGAGGGAAAACACTGAACACAATTCGTTTTTCTTTAATAGTAAGCAAAGAAGTGGGTGATTATTGGAATGAGATATAAAGGACATAGTATAACAAGGACATAGTATAGTAAGCAAATGTAAAAAGCATGACATTAAACTGAAGAAGTACAATAGTATACATGTGCATTTCAAAAGCATATAATACTCATTCTGTCTCTCTCTACACACATACATGTATACTTTATATATGTGTATGTACATACACACTTGTGGAAGCAGTATTAAGAGTATCATGGAAATGAAAATGTCAACAGGTCCCTCAGAAGAGGAAGAAAGAAAAAATTGTGGAGGGTTTCAGTACAAACTTCACTATATCTAATTTTTTGTTTTATCCTCTGAAGCAAAAATGATAGTGCTATATAATTTAGTAAAGACTACAAGGTGTATTGCTCTGTGTACTTTTCTATATGTCTAACATACTTTATGAAAATGAAACAAAAGTAGGCATGATATGTATCCTCAAGATGGGAGTCTATAGGTGAGTAGACAAGACATGATATGTAAGGGTCAGCATATTCGAAAAATTATTTTAAAAAAAGAATAAGACAAAAATATGATCAGATTAACACTGTAATTAAAAAGTTATAGTTCTGCTGACATGGTGGTCCACCCCTGTAACACAGCACTTGAGAGGCAGGAAGATCATGAGTTCCTGGATAATAGTGAGACCGTGTTTCAAAGAAAATTCAAAAAGAAAGCAACACATTTCTCCCTGGTCACAGTACCTTCATGAGTAAAAGAGAAACAAGTCACTACTCACAGCACACGGCTGACGAAGATTTAATTGTGGTTCTGCCTTTAAAATATTCTACTTAACTCACCGAAATAAAACTGACAAAACTGCTTCTGAGTCCAAAAAATTTTATTCATAAGCATTTCAGTAATTGACAAATCTAATACTTTTCAAACACTTAGCATATAGTTAGGTAGAATTTCAAATAGAAATTCCCATTTATGACTTAACATTTAATTAAAATCTGCCTCATCACTCTTTGCTACTCTGTCCAAGAACCAATAGCTTTAAAAATAATGAGATCTGAGATAACTAACCAATTTCAAACCACATAAGGAAAGCCCTATTTAGGAATTGATGGCATATAAAATAAATCTTAGGGGCTTCTGTAATAGTCTGTCTTCAAATGAAACTTTCATAACCACTATGATAAAAAAAAAAAAGCTGACAGAATCTTAGTGGAAAAAAAAAACTGCCAACTGCCAAAAAATCCAAATGCTGCAAAATCTAGAAACATGGAACATACATGAATTCCTGTAAATCAAGTTATATACAGCAGCATCACTAAAAATTCAAAAGGATCTTGAAATCACAAAATCTGAACTTCACAAAAAGAGGTTGGGCTGGGAAGGTGGCTCAGTGGTAGAGTGCTTGCGTCGCACGTATGAGGCCCTGGGTTCGATTCCTCTGCACCACATGAGACTTTTGTCTCCAATTAACCACGACAAAGCTGGAAGTGGCACTGTGGCTCAAGTGGTAGAGCACTAGCCTTGAGCACAAAAAGCTCAG